GGTGGTTGTGGATGGAGCAGATGTGGTTGTGGTTGGTGCAAAATTGGTTGTTGAGGATGGAACAGCTGTGGTTGTGGTTGGAGCAGCCGTGGTTGTTGTTGCAGCTGCTGTGGTTGTTATTGGAAAAGCTGTGGTTGTGGTTGGAGCAGTTGTGGTTGCTGTGGCAACAGCTGCGGTTGTGATTGGAGCAGCTATGGTTGTGGATGGAGCTCCTGTGGTTTTTGTGTGAACAGCTGTGCTTGTGGTTTGAACAGCTGTGGTTGTAGTGGGAGAAGCTGTGGTTGTGCTTGGAGCAGCTGTGGTTGTGGTTGGTGCAGCACTGGTTGTTAAGGATGGAACAGCAGTGTTTGTGGTTGGGGCAGGTGTGGTTGTTGTGGCAGCATCGGAGATTGTTGTTGGAGCAGCTGTGGTTGTGGTTGGTGCAGCAGTGGTTGTTGTGGATGGAACAGCTGTGGTTGTGGTTGGAGCGGCTGTGGTTGGTGTGGTAGCAGCTGTGGTTGTGGAGGGAGCAGCTATGGTTGTGGTTAGAGGATCAGTGGTTGTTAGGACAGCAGCTGTGGTTGTTGTTGGAACAGGTGATGTTGTGGTTGGTGCAGCAGTGGTTGTTGTGGATGTAACAGCTGTGGATGTTGTGGCAGCAGCTGTGGTTGTTTTTGGAGAAGCTGCGGTTGTGGTTGGAGCAGCAGTGGTTGTTGTGGCAGCAGCTGTGGTTGTTGTTGGAACAGGTGATGTTGTGGTTGCAGTAGATGTGGTTGTGGTTGGAGCAGCAGTGCTTGATGTTGCTGCAGCTGTGGTTGTTGTGAGAGCAGCTGTGTTTGTGGTTGGAGCAGCTGTGGTTGTGGTTGGAGCAGCTGTAGTTGTTCTGGCAGCAGCTCTGTTTGTTATTGGATAAGCGGTGGTCGTTGTTGGAACAGCTGTGGTTGTGGATGGAGCAGTTTTGGTTGTGGTTGGTGCAGCAGTGGTTGTTGTGGATGGAACAGCTGTGGTTGTGGTTGGATCGGCTGTGGTTGGTGTGGTAGCAGCTTTGGTTGTGGATGGAGCAGCTATGGTTGTGGTTAGAGGAGCAGTGGTTGTTAGGACAGCAGCAGTGGTTGTGATTGGAGCAGCTGCGGATGTTGTGGCAGATGCTGTGGTTGTTATTGGAGAAGCTGCGGTTGTGGTTGGAGAATCTCTGGTTGTTGTGGCAGCAGCTGTGGTTGTTGTTGGAACAGCTGATGTTGTGGTTGGAGCAGGTGTGGTTGTGGTTGGAG